GCAGGTGAAAATCCCCCCTCTCTCCCGTTGGTGCTCAGAGGCATATGCCTTTCCCCCACACTGGCTGCTCCTGCTGTCCTTGCTGTCCCAGAACTGCTTCTGCCCACCTCAACTGGGCAGCACAGGTGCTAGGCTCAACTGGGGATGGAGACAGCAGCAACAGAGCATGGTGGAAGAGTCACTTCCCCCACCCTTCCCAGCCTCCCTAGAAGCAGGCATGGGGAAGGAGAACCCCTCCACCCATCCAGCTGCTGCTGTCCAGTCCTCATCCCCAACTGAGTCCAGCTCCCACACAGCCAGGCTGTGGCAGGAGGCTCTGGAGCTTCTCCCACCCTCTGGGACAAAGGGTAAACCCTCAGCAGCATGCGAGGGAGGGGAGGGGACATGCCTCTGAGCACCAAGAGGAAGCAAAGGGAGATTTTTAACTTGTTTTAGGGACTTCAGTTCCCAGAGGCTCCCGCATGGGAAGGGGGAGGAGACTGGGAGCAGGGGGTGCAGCCACCCCTGCAGTATGGGGCGCTGCTCCTGCATCCCCTTTGGGAGATCATACAATGTTAGAAAATAAGGGCTAGAAGGGACCTCAGGAGATCATTTAGTCCAATCCCCTGCTCAAAGCAGGACCATCCCTAGCTCAGGGGGGACTTGGTAGCAGTCTACAATTATATATGAGGGGTACATCAAGATCTGGGAGAACAGCTATTTACAAGAGCTCCGCAAGGGATAACAAGGTCTAACAGCCATAAACTCCAGGAAGGCCGATTTAGACCAGATATAAGAAAAACGTTCTTTATGGTGTTGGGGGTTAATTACCAATTTAATCTCTGATTATCTGAGCCTGCCCAAACAACAGCTCTCTGTCAATTAACCCTCCGAAAGGTGGAGTGGTTCTTTGCCCAAAGCGTATCTAATCACCGCTTGTATTAAATAAATAACTAAGAGAATTGCTAAAAGTATATGAAGAAAATGGTTTATTATAAAACTAACAAGAACAGGTAAGTATCATATGCCATACAAGTACACGGGAACACACTGTCTTCATACTAATGCTATACAAATCCTAACCCAACAATATCTAATTACAACAACGACAATAAAAGGACTAAACTTTATTATAAGGGACAGGGGAACTTTATTTAGTTTGGCTCCAGTCGCTGGGGTAGAGACAACTGCACCTCAGGCAGCGGCTTCTGATCTTCATTGGCTGTACGCCGAGAAGAAGAACCCCAACAACCCAGAAGGGAAGAACAGGATAGGGTAATGCTTACCAATCAGAGCAGAGGGCCGCTACCTTATGTGATAGACACACCTGGGGAGAAGAGCCCGGGAAGCCAACACTTTCTGCTCTGGTGGCAGACAGAGGATCTCCCAGAGCGACTGGGCCCAGCACCAGGAACCTCCGCGGTTCACACTGTTGATCGGTCACTCAGCCTCTCCATGTGTCTATCTTTCCTACCAACAAGCACCCCGACTTTTTTCCTTCTCTCAGTCACGCCTCAGTTCAGCCACACCACACACCCACGGTCTCAGACACGCGCCTCACACACACCGAGCTCCGCCCTCTCAGGGTCTCTTGAAGGGCTTCTGCACACGGCTCTGCTCACAGTGCTCGGGCGTGCACACAGCACTCTATTCCAGGGCCTCTGCAGAGGGGGGTCAGGTAGAGGCCATCTGCTGACCTACTTAACTAGAACTGTATGAACCGAGCCCCCATTTCCACCATTACAATGGTGCGGTGCACGTGTCCAGGGTCTGGAGCAGACTCCCCCCAAAGGTGGCACAAGCACCTGCTCTGGACTCTTTCAAAAAACATCTGGACATTTTTCTTGCTGGGATCACTTGATCCCAGCTGACTTCCTGCCTATGGCGGAAGGGCTGGACCTGATGATCTCACGAGGTCCCTTCCAGCCCCTAACGTCTATGAAATCTATGAAACGAGTACCACCCCTGGCTAAAAGGTTCTGTTCCTTTCAACAGTCAAGGAACTGCTTCAGTTAAAATGTACACCTTAGACAAACTCTGCCTAGAAAGTGATGCTTAGTCCGTGGGTGCATACACTAGAATCAGCAGCGTACAGCCAGTATGGGTAGTCTTGTCAGGGCATCCTTCACTATAGACCCTTTTCATCATCAGCCGCTGTTTTCAGTTGCCTGCAACTTTCCCAAACAGACACTAGGCTGAAGTTTTCCAAGTCAGATTTCTGCCTGAGGCAAATTTGTGTATGTGTGTGCGCGTGTTGTGTGTATGGTCATATGTGTGTTGTGTGTGTGTATGTAGGGTTACCATACATCTGGGTTTTCCTGGACATGTCCTCTTTTTGGGTCATTGCCTTCCAGGCAGTTTTGTTTTCTTTTTTAATATCAAGAAATGTCTAGGATTTTGCTCTGCCCCTGCTCAGCATCTAAGTTTTTCCTGGAACTTCTTGGCTTGCCCCAGTTAGGAGCTGCTTGGGCCTGGGGGGAGCGGGGTGGGTGACTGGAAGCTGGGGTATCACATGGGTCTGTGCATGGCCCTGGGCAGCTGCAGGTAGGTAAGGCCAGGGCTTGGGGAAAGAGAGAGAGAGACAGAGAGAGAGAGAGAGTGTTTGTGTGTGGCAGGGAGATGTCTGCCTCTCTGGCGGGGGAAGCGGGTGAGGGGGAATCTTTGGGGGCAGCTGGGAGCTGTGTGGGCAGCAGGGCTGGGGGGGCAGGGGGCTGTGGGTCAGGAGTGAAAGGCACCAGCAGGGCAGGGGGGCTGTGGCTTGGGAGCGAGGGGCACCAGGGGGGCAGGGAGATTATGGGTTGGGAGCGTGGGGCACAGGCAGGGCCAGGGGCTATGGATCAGGAGTGAGGGGTATCAGCAGGGACAGGGGGGCTGTGGGTTCAGAGTGAGGGGCAGCAGCAGGGCTGAGGGGGACATGGCTTGGGAGTGTGGAACAGGGGTAGGGCACGGGCATATCACTGCCCACAATCATATCACACCCCCCCCAACCGGTGTCCTCTTTTTTGAAACAAGAAATATGATAACCCTATGTGTGTGAGTGTAGTGTGAATGTCTGTGTGTGTGTATGTGTATGTACACAGGGGTGCAAAGCTTCAGCTGCAATAGGCCATTTTAGGGAACTTGGTTAGGGAAACACTCTGCTGTTTCTATTTGTGCTTTAACAAGACAAACCCTTGGCCTTTTTCTGGCCAAGAGCCTCAGTACTTTGGGACCAGAGCCTCAGTGGTTTGGGACGTTTGGAGACCTGGTCGAGAGCTGTAGCAGCAAGCAACCTGCAAGCCAAATGCTACAACAGAGGCAGGACAGGAGAGGACATGTAATAGCGGACGGGGGGGTTTATTTATTCATAAATCTACTGGATACAAAAATCATGGACTAAATATAGACATTGGATTTATGGCACATTATAACCTTCCTGCCATCCAATAACCCCAGGTAATCTCTCTACATTTTCCCTGCTATATTTTATCACCTGTTAATATTTTCCTGTTTTGTTCCTCCCCTTCACCTGTCTCACACTCATCCCCTCTGATGTTCCCTGCCATGCATTTGTATTTTCACAGACCTGCATTTTGCATATTGGCTTAAGCTTCTTTTCAACCCTACAGAGAAGACACAGACGAGAAGACTCTTCCTATGCCTGAGGAAGGGCACTTGTGCCAGAAAGCTTTCAAAGAACAATTTTTTGGAACTATTCAGTTGGTCTAATAAAAGATATCACAGGGCACAACTACATGTACATTTTAAACAGCGTTTTGGGCCAGGCAAGTCTCTATTCAGTGATGTCCAGAAGTGTCCCCTAGTGGCACAGAGACATGGTCTGGGGTGGCCCAAAAAGGATTTTTGGGTATAATCCCAGCCCAATATCCAGTTCCTTATTCAGTTCCACGTACATGGCACAGCAGCTGGGGTGCTGGCTGTTGTTAGCCTGGCACGGCCAAACTGTGCTTTGGGCCGGGCAAATCCCTGGTCAGAGATGTCCAGGACAGTCCCGCAGTACCACAGTCATGTTCTGGGGTGGCCCAAGGATTTCTGGGTATAATCCCAGCCCAAAATCCAGTTTTTTATTGGGGTGCATACAGTTAGCAGAGTGGCTGGGGTGCTGCCTGTTGGCAGCCCGGCACGGCCGAACTGTGCTTTGGGCCGGGCAAGTGTCTGGTCACAGATGTCCAGGACAGTCCCCCAGCGACGCAGAGGTGTTCTGATGGGTGGCCCAAGCAGATTTTTTAGCCACAATCCCAGCCCAAAAGCCAGTTCCTTGTTCAAACCATTATGTTTAGTATACTGGGCATGGGGGCTGTTAGTTGGCAGGCTGGCACGGCCAATTCGTGCTTTGGGCCAGGCGGGACTGTGGTCAGGGGTCTTTGGGCCAGTCCCCTAGGGGCATTGCCACAAAATTTGGGGTGGCCCAAGTATTTTGACCCATAATCCTATCCTAATCTGGCCTTCCTTTAGGGCTCTGTACTTGATGTGAGATATTATTTTACATATTAATTAGCACATACACGTAGCTAATGAAATTCTGCCTATTTAGGATGTGTAATTCATTAATAAGTTTTTATTAGTCTATATTAGCTTTGAAAAAGGAACTGGGAATAAGGAATCGGGAACAAGGAACCAACTTCAGCCACATCCTGCGGAAGGAGGTGCAGAAGCTGCGCAGCCGCCTCCGACTGGCCCAGTCCCCGTGCACGGAACTTTTGGGTCCCCCAGCGGCCGCCCGCGCAACTGAGACCAAGCGGCGGGGTCGGGGCCCGGCAGGGCACAGCGCGATGCGCACGC